CATTCGCCTCAGCCTCCCAAAGTGCTGAGATCACAGGCTAAGTCACCGAGCTCGGCCTAAATTTACTAAATTCTTATAGTCCTGTGAGTGAAATGAGTATGAGGGTGCATTGGTGTATCTGTGTGTGCACATGCACGCTTGCATAAGGAAATAGGAATGTGGAATTAGGTTTTCCCCAGTGAGGGGGGAAAAAAGAGAATTCTGATAGGTAAGTTAGGAAGAGCCAGATATCTGCAGGAGTGGTGAGGGGATTTCTCCTTTACAAAGAAAACCTCAAGGTGACTTGCTCTCTCTCATTCACCCTTTAGAATAGAGGGTGCCAACCAGAGGAAGTTGGGCCAGCCCTGTCATCAAGAGGCTTTAGAAACAAAGATACTGAGGAGAAGCAGGCAGGAGTCCCTCAGAAAAATCTAGGTACCAGTTTTCGAAGGAAAACTAAAAGTTCATAAATGGAGGGAATAAGCATAGAGACCCTCACACAAGGTTTTTCACAGTCCATTTAAACCAATCTGAATCACAGAAATTTTCAATGATCTGAAATTGAAGGAGTTACTTGCACTAATGCAACAGGTTTTGGTAAATGAAATATTACTGTCCAAGTCAACTGGCCTGGTCTACTCCCATAAATCACTAGGGCTTGTGTTTTTGGTGGTAACTGTTTGCAAACAAACAAATGATGTGAAGGCCCTGTGGCTCGAATTGTGGTCCCTGGACCATCAGTGGCAGCAGCACCTGGGAGCTTGTTAGCAAATTCTTGGGTCCCACCCCAAACCCAAGTTTAAGAGACCCTAGTTAAAATGTAGTGATATTCTGCATTTTAAAAAGAAGATCCTCATGTGATTCTTGTACACAGGACAATTTGAGAAGTACCTGAAATTTCACCTTCTGACCATATTCATTTGCTTAGCAAACTTTTTTGGTAAATAAACAATGGCAGCCTTTCCTCTGAGTTAGAGTCTCTGGAATTTGCCCCAGTGGGGATCTTTCTGTTTTTCTTTTTCTTTGGACTGTAGCTAATAATACAGAATGTTTTTCAAGTAAATCAGTGGTTCCAGGTGGTTCTTGGATGGAAGCCTTGTTACAAGGCTATAAAAAGCTAGATATTTCTCTTATAAGTTTCTAACTTAAGTATTCTCTGAGGCAAATAGCTTCAGCATAAAGGAGGCTAACAGTTTTGTAAAAAAGAGATGAATATCTGCATAACTACCACACTACCCCTATGTACTTCAAAATAAGGGGGGGGAATTGCCAAAATCAACTTTATTTTAGAATGTCACACCCTGATACTTGGAAAAGGGACTTTCACACCAAAACTGAGAAAAACAAATTTAATCCACATACTTTTCATATTAGTTAAAATTTTTCTACTGCCAAAAAAAGTCCTTTTTTAAAAACTTCCATTATCCCTTTAATTGTTTTTATATCCGTCCCAGAGCTTATAATGTTACCACTGTGGTTATCTAATAAGTGCTCCATCTCTTTATTCTGAGCAAAGAGCAAAAGGAAACACACAATGAGAATATTGAGAATTTTGAAATAAGACATTAATTCTTCAGTGGATTTGCTTGCAAGAAAACTTTCAGGTTCAAATATAAAATCTCAACTGTAACAGAAAATTATCTAAACTATCCAAAGACAGTAAAAGCAAACTAACATGGGGAAATGTACCTATGCTACAGGCCGAGTAAACACTCAGCTGCTATCTCTTGATGCCAATAAATCAAGAGGCAAGGAACTGGTAGAAAGAAGTTTATTTCTCAATTCAGAATTCAGGGAGACAGAACCTGGCTCCTAGTATTTCTGGAACTGTCCTGCTCACTCCTTAGGTTTCACAGACCATTTTTATAAATTTAGGGTTGCTGGTACCTATACATTGACTACGTGACTGAAGAGCATCATATAGAACTCAAGTTACGGCCGCATTTTATTAATAGTACCATTTATGGTCCACATTTCCCAGAACTGGCTACCAAAAAGAAGTTCACAGAGCCTATTACAAAGTAAAACATTATTCACTACAACATACTGTTGATTAGTAGTTATAACACACAAAAAGTAACATAAATTAAAAGGCTTATGGTTATATAGGGGTGCTATATTTTTAAATCTATGACCACTGATAAAAGAGAATGAATAGGGCCGGGCTCGGTGGCTCAGCCTGTAATCCCAGCACTTTGGGAGGTCAAAGCAAGTGGATTGCCTGAGCCCACAGGTTCGAGATCAGCCAGGGCAACTTGGCAAGACTTCGTCTCTACAATAAATTAAAAAATTAGTCTGGCATGATAGTGCGTGCCTGTAGTTCTGGCTGCTTAGAAGGCTGAGGCGAAAGGATCACCGGAGCCCAGCAGGTCGACAGTTGGGTGGCCATGAGTGTGCCACTGCCCTCCAGCCTGGGCAACAGAGTGAGACTCCAATTCAAAAAAAAAGAGAGAGAGAGTGAGTAGGAATTCATTGCTCTCAGTTGAGTGAGTACAGTCTGCAGAGGATTAAGGGTTCCTTGGCCTGACATAACAGGGAATGTATAGGAGATACAGGAATATATTTTTGTTTTCATTTTAGTTTTTGTTAATTCTCAGGAATGTAGGTATGTGAAAGCCCACTCAAAACACTCATTATGCCTTTCTTTAAGGGTTGTGGCAATATGGACAGACAATAGTGGGTTTCCATATCACTTAGATGTATGGTATTGCAAAACAATCTTCAGTGCATGCTACATAATCATATATTTTGTAACCATACATGATTATGTATTATGCACTAATGCATGATACCAACCATTTGGTATTATTATGTATCACTGCATGATACCATTTAGAACAATCATGACTTAATAGACTGTTATGTCTTTGCCGCAAAAATTTTACCTGTATGATGACCACTTTTATACCTAATCCTGAATTGTACCCATCTTTAAAATTAAAAAATTAAAAGTAAGATAAAATAAATTTAGTGTTTATTGTCCACCTGCATCTAAGCTACACATATATTCATATCTGACTGGCTACATGGATTGTTATTGGTTAATGTGCAAGGATATTTTGCTTCATGACATTTATAAATGATCATTTATTTTTTAAATGCACACAAAAAACCTGGCTAAATGAAAATTTCTAATTCCAAATACATACTCTCAATTGCAAAAAAAAACTGATTTAAAAATAAGCAAAATATCTGAGTAGACTTCTTTTTTATTTTAAAGATGTGGGGTATCATTCAGGGTTAGATGTACAAATGTTCATTATGCATGTACCCTTGTTGATGAGGTGTGCCCGCCCTCCCCCAGAAGATTCCCTCTACTGCCAATTCCACTCTCACCCTCCCCTGTCAATTTCCCACTACTGCCATTTTTCTCCAAAGAAAACTTACAAAAAGTCAGTAGGTATATGCAAAGGTTTACATCACTAATCATCAGGGAAATGCAAATCAAAAACCACAATCAGATATCACCTTACACGTTAGGATGGCTGTTATCAAAGAGTCAAGAGATAACAAGTGTTGGTGAGGGTTTCATGGAATAAAAGGGAATGCCTGTACGCTGTTGGTGGGAACGTAAATTGGTACAGCCATTATAGAAAACAGCATGGAGGATTTTCAAAAAATTAAAAATAGGACTACCGTACAATCCATCCATCTCACTATTAGGTATATAGTCAAAGGAAATAAAATCCCCAGTATTTTAAAGAAATATCTGCACTCTCACATTCATTGCAGCATTATTCACAGTAGCCAAGACATAAAATCAACCTAAATGTCCACTGAGGGATGAATAGGTTAAAAAGTCACATGTGTGTATATATATCTGTATATATACAGACATATATAATATTCCATATAATGAAATATTATTCAGCCATAAAAGTAATAAAATACTACCTTTTGCAAAAACGCGGAGGACAGTATGCTAAGTGAAATAAGCCAGACACAGAAAGGCAAAGACTGTATTATCTCATTAATATGTGGAATCTTCTTTAAAAAGTTGAATTTATAGAAGCAGAGAGCAAAACAGTAGTGGCCAGGGCTGGGGATAGGGAAATAGAGAGATGTTGATCAAAGAATACAAACTTTCAATTATAAGATGAATAAGTTCTGGGGATTTAACACATAGCATGGTTATTATAATTACCAATAATGTACCATATACTTGAATTTGCTAAAAGAGTAGATCTTAAATGTCCTCACCACACACACACACACACACACACACACACACACACACACACACACACACACACATACACACACACACAATGGTAAATAAGAGTGGTCATGGATGTGTTCATTTGATTGTGGCAATCATTTCACAATGTATATGCAATTCAAACTATTACATTTTACATCTTGAATTTATACAATTTTTATTTGTCAAGTATACCTCAATAAAGCTGGAAGAAAAAATAGACTCCTCCAATGCAGCTGAAACATGGAGAAGACATTGCCACCGTGATGAATCTCTCTTTAAATTCATGACCACAAATTCACCTAGACCTATATGTGCCTGCTTCTAAGCAGCTATATTATATTTCCTTAGTTTAGTCACTCTCCAACATTCCTGAACAACTATTTCATACCTTTTCTGTCTCCTTCATCCTTTAATATTTGCTTATCCATCCTCACTCACTTGATAAGTTTTCTTTCTATTTCACTGAGAAGTTGAAAAAATCTGAAGAGAACATCTACAGACCCCTACAAACTTTCGGTTATAAAATAAATAAGTTCTAGGGATCTAACACATAACATGGTGACTATAGTTACTAATAATGTATCGTATACTTGAATTTGGAAGAGAGTAGATCTTAAGTGTCCTCATCCCCCCCCCCCACACACACACACACACACAATGGTAAATAAGTGTGGTGATGGATGGAAATCATTTCACAATGTATATGTATTGTGAAATAATGAACTTAACACCTAGAAGGCTGACATTGACCTACTGAATATACCCATGTCATATCTGGCTAAATCACCATTTTTTTTAACAGCTGGGGAGCACCACTTACCATCTCCTTCTTATCTTCCTGGAAGTGCACATCCACAAACATCTTTCCAACAACATAAGGGAGGGCACTTTCGATAAAGTTTACACATTTGTCCCACTGAGGCAGCAAAGTTGTAGTCCCCTGGATTACCTGTAGGAGAAAATTGATCCAGATTGAGCTTCTTTTGGATAAAACCTACAGCTAAAAAATAGTCAAACAACCTGAAGAAAACATTCTACAAAGCATTGCACACCCCACCCATAAACATGTATCAGACAGTAGAGGAAAAGGTGATATTAGCTGAAGAAAATAAATTCTGCTTGTCCCCAGTTATATTTAAAACTAAGTGAAAACATTTAACAGTGAAAAATAATCACTTCTACTTTTCTTCCAATTTTCCCCCATTAAGCAAATGATCTGGACAATGGTATAGCATTTCTTCAGTCAGCAGGGACATGAGAGAATGCTGTTCCAGTGTGTCCAGATTAGCTAATATCTACTGAGAACTAAAATTCCACTAATACAAGTCTAGAATCAATGAATGATCAAAGTTTCCGCCCAGCAAGGGTTTCCTTGCTCTGGGTGGTACACTCAACAAGGCAGACCAGGAGAACGTGGCCTACCATGAACAACCCAGGAAACATATTTATATTGTGACATAGCAAAGAATACACAGGTAAACAAGTAAAATACAGATGTAAATGCTTTTCCCATCTGTTCCAATTATACCATTACAAAGAAGCATTTACAAACAGGTAAGAAGATTCCCAAGCAGGACCTGGAAGGCTCAGAGGTTTATTTATGAAGATGAAGACAAAGAAACAAATAAAGTTTAAGTTGCCCTTGGAAGTTAGGAGTGCAGGCAGGCAAGGAAGCCCTGAGATTGGTAGCCGGAAGTGACCCTTGCACAATGTTAGACCCAGTTTGTTCGAGCAGGGTGAAAGGGATTAAGGCATAAATTCATCAGTTCTTCCTCTGCTTTCTGGGAAACACAACCCCTCTAAGAAGTAAAGGATTGATCTATTTTTAAAACTCCTAGAGAAAGAAATCCCACAACCTTCTTCAGCAATTCAATATTATATTTAGCACTTCATGCTCAAGAAACATCCCCTCATACCTAACCTCAAATTCTCACACACTTCTTCTTACACCTCTCTCTCTCATTCTCTTCACAGTGGGGGTGGAAAGTGACTGGGTATCATCTTTTATGTAATCCATAGATGTTAAAAATACACACACACACAAACACACACACACACACACACAGAAAAATCTACTTGTTTTGTATCTTAACCCACTGACATGACCTAAATATGTATAGTTGTTTTATGCTGCTCTCTATAAAGATATAGTCTAGTGACTTTAAAGAGTCAAAATATATCCAAAACAATTGCACTACTCTTCAAAAGTAATGGCCCACTAAGAATTTTTGTACTTAGGAGTTTCTTCAATAACTAAAATGTCTGTTAAATAAAATCATGACTTAAAAAATTCACATTCACTTAAATGTATTATTATTATTATTATTATTATTATTATTATTATTAGAGATAAGGTTTTGCACTGTCACCCATGCTAGACTGCACTGGTGCAATCACAACTCACCACAGCCCCAAACTTCTGGGCTCAAGCAATCCTCCCTCAGTCTCCCAAGCAGCTGGTACTACAGGTGTGTGCTGCCATGCCTGGATAATTTTTTAAAATTATTTTTTATAGAGATGGGATCTCACTATGTTACTCAGGCTGGTCTTGCACTCCTGGTCTCAAAGCAATTTTCCCATGTCAGCCTCCCAAAGTGCTGGGATTACAGGCCTAGTCAGTGTACCCAGCCTCACTTAACTTTAAATTGATAGAAAAACAAGCTTAAAATATTTTTTTAAGTCACAAAATCTTTAAGTCCTCTATTGGTGGGAGAATTACTCAGACAAAGCCTCAGAAACAAATATGAGAGTAATACTAGTATAAATTGGGAGGTGAGCGAGGGTGGAGAGAAGCAAAGATTAAACAGCCGGGAGAGGGGGGAGAAGAAAAGCATCTCAGGCAGTGGAGCAAAAACTCGGAGGAGACTAAATTGGGGTTTCTTGGACCTAGTGGAATTAGGATAGATTCAAAGATCAAAGATCTAGGTAAAGTTCAAAACAAAACTCCATCTCCAAATTAAAAATGAAAAATTACATATATATTTTTTGAATATTCAGAATACTGAAAATAAGTAGTTACAAATATATTGCTAATAAATATTAAAACTGTAATTACAGTGACCCAATTAAAGCCACTGGGAAAAAAATGTGCTAACAAGAGGGGAAGTTTGAAAACAACATGATAGCCTCAATTTTTGCCCTAAATATCTTTATATAACCTATCAAAGCAGAGCTGAAGTGTATTTTCCTGTATGTAAGTTATACCTAAACAAACAAAAAGAAATAAAGAAAAAAAAATAGAGCTTGGCCTGCAAAACTACCTCTGTTAAATCCCTAAAGATGATTTTTATTGGATCAGGTAACATATGAACTATTCTGGCATATAAAGTTATTCAGTGATGTAACATTGCAACCTTCTTAAACTTACCCGTGAGAATTCCAGCCACCTATATTGAAAGCGTCTGCTAAGGTTTGGAATTCTGGAATAAACCATTCTCCACACCAAATAGTTGGCAATGGTCCTGTTAACAGAGAGAGATGCACATTTATTGTATTTTAGGTCGATATCAGATGCTCTGCAGAACACCTTGGGAAAAACAGTTGGCAAATCTCCATGGACAGAACTCTTGCTCATACAAAACTGCAGAACTTTCACTTGAGAAATGACATAAGATGATACAATGTGAATAAGCACAACCAAAATTGGCTTGCCTTTCACCACCTAATACAGATAGATGAAATAAAGATTCCAGCCCCTGGCCTCAGAGTAAGCATTTTGCTTTCCCTAGCAGTACATAGAGTTCACTGTTGCACAGCCTTTCAAGTCTGGAAATTGTGAATACCTTCAAATAACAGCAGGTCCTTGAATAACATTGTTTCATTCAATGTCCTTTTGTTATAACATTGATGAGGAAAAAGTAGATCCCCTGCCAGGGCCACTCTCTGTATGGAATTTGCACATTCTCCTATGTCTGTACCCCAGTGTCCTCCCACATTCCAAAAATGTGCCGGTTAGGGTAATCAGCGAGTCTACATGGTCCCAGTGTGAATGAGTGTGGTATCTGTGTGGGTGCCCCTCTGATGGGATGGCATCCTATCTGGGTTGGCTACTGCCTGGTGCCATGAGGTGCCAGGACAGGCTCCATCACCTGTGACCTTGAACTGGAATAACTGGGTAAAAAATTATCTTACTTATTTTTACTAATCTTTCTTAAATGTGTGTTTAGCTCATATATATGCCAGTGTTTAATATTAGAAGAGTTTTGGTCTTTATTTAGAAGACCGGTGATGTTATTATGACCAGAAATATGCCACAGAATTTAAACTCTTGTTTATATCAATTAGTCTATGGTCAAATTGGTTTCATTATATGTTGTTTTGCTTAAAGCTGCAGTTTTCAAGAACCTATCAACAATGTTAAGTAAGGACTTACTGAATTAGGTGGCTTGACACAATACATTTGTATTCTTTGCCTTTGGAAATGAACAACAAAATATTAGCTAATATCAACTGTCTCAATTTTCATCCTGATTCTCTACTTACTAAATATGTGAACTTGGGCAAGTCACTTAAGCACTCTGATGTTATCTTTCCTTATAACACAGTGAGGATGATCCCTACCTTACATGGTTATTGTGAGTTTAAAATAAGTAACAAAATGCTCGACACAGAGTACATTCCCAGTTTTTTTGGTTTCACTCACTTGCAAACATATGAACAACTCCATGTGTTCATGTAATGCCCATAATACATATCTTTAAAAATCTGTTACATTTTAAGGATTGCCTTTCTCTATAAGCAAAAGATGACCTGACCTCAGAAGGATGTGTGATCTGAGTTAATTTCTATCTCAATGATAATGATGGAGTTTTAATGATCCTTCCCCTCCCAGCTGTGACATTACCATGGCAACTAATAATACACATTCCTAAGATGGCTCAAGGGTCAGCCAACCACGTGAGAGCAGCGGGGCCTGATGATGCTACACAGCCCATCAAGAACAACCAACACTCTCATTTGCATGGCATTCCGACTCAGTGCACATGCACTCCTAACAGTACAATCATTTTTAACACACACACTCAATATATGAATGCTTATTTTCATTTATATAGAGGTATGTTAACAGACTAATATGTTAGGAATATTTCTAATAAATATTAAATAGAAATTTCAAAAGAAAAAATAAAATGAAATAAAATATCTTCTAAAGTCATTAATTAATCCTTCAAATGCCATTAGGTTTATTCTTTAAGACACATTATCCAAATAGAATAAGGCTAATACAACAATGACAGTGGATGTAAATCCACATTTCACATAGTCTTGACTATTTCAAATATTTTTGACATGTCCTTATCAGATCTGGTCAGACCGCCATTGTTTTTGCCTTGTCATCTGGCTAACCAAAATGGCATGCTAGCCTGGGACAAGGGTCACTTATGCCATTCTGTAGTCATTCACTTGTGCTAATATTATCAGTAATAGTTTCAATTTCTGTTTCTCTGCAAGATTTTTTTAAGTTACCTGTTCATGTTGTGAGGATTAAACTTATAAACTAGAAAACAAAATGTATACATCTACAGGTATATGCAAACAGTTCAAGATGATTTTTAATATAATGAATAAAAACAAGCCAGTGATGATGATACTACCTCGCCCATATCATGTGCACCCTAGAGATCAAATGAAGAGCGAAGGGTCCATGGTTATCAATATAGAACTCAATAAAGCTTTATTTTTTTAAATTAAAAATAAAGATATAGAAGTTCTAAAATTCTCTTGTTGGACCCAGTGGATCATGTTGATTATGTGCATTCCCCTTGGAGACCAACACACTAATCAACAAAGTCTAGCCCTAATCCCTGCTCTATTTAGGTCATTATAATAGACACATAGTTTTAGGTTATTCCTTCAAAACTTTTGTGTTCACATCTCTACTCCAGAAAAAGACAAGAAGTAATTACTGAGCACTTACTGTTGGCCAAATATTGTGCCAGATGCCACAAGGAATGTACAGAGATAAGAACCCAGCACCTATAGTTAGAGAACTCAAAGTCTAGTTGAAAACACAGGACTTCAGATTTCAGCTTGTTCATATAATTAGTTTTCTTAATTGAAGGGACACACTGTAAGTACATAAGCGATCTTTCTTTCATTCACTCAGTTGACACATATATACTAATAGCTCTAGGAGCTGGGGAGATGGAAAGGTGAGAAAGATATAGTCCTTAATCTCCTGAAGCTTTTAGCTGAGCATAGGAGACGAGGCAAGTGCATAAATAATGATTTGGCAGATCCTGGCACCTACAAGCGTGTGTCAGACACATCATCAAAAGGACAATACACCTCACACTGAGGGTTGAGGGCAGGCTTCATGAGAGGGGCATGCCAAAAGGTTGACAGGTTTTGGTGTGGGAAGCAGGAACACAAACTCCAGACAGGCTAAATAATGGAGGGATTGGTTGATGTGTTGGAGGGGATGGTGAGCAGGTCATTGCTCAACGAAGTGGCCAGAAAGGCCAGCCACGTTGGAGAGATGCAGACAGCAATCAGGGTCTGGTGTCATCAATGGGCAGTTCCTAATCCCAATGCAAGGTCTATATGTTTTTTGTCCTTCAAACATTGTTTGTCAGGTATGCGAGCTATGCTGGCTCCACAGGTGCAGATTAGAAGGTCAACAGCAGTAGATGTCCTTTCATGATTTAAAATCCATTCTTTCAAGGAGGTGGTGATGAGCCAGATTAACTGGGGAAATTGTTAGGATGGGTACTGATGGTGATGCTGAAAGAGGCAGTGTGGCAGAGCATACCGGGGTTCCAGAAGTAGGAGCGTTTCCAACGCCCCTAAAATCATCCACATAGGCATCTTACATTATCTATGATCCTAAGCACCACTATAGAAGAGACGTTGTTATAACCACTTTACATATAAGGAAATTTGAGGCTTACAACCATTAAATAAGCTCATGATCACAAATTCAGTGGGTCTCAGACTAGTAGAATCACCTGGGGAATTTTTAAAAGTCCCAATGCCTAGGCAACCAGAGACCAATTAAATCACAATCTCTAGAGTGAGACCTACCATAAACAATATTTATAAATCTCCCCACCTCAGTCCAGGGTACAGTCACATTGAAGAACTACTGTAATAAGCAGTGGAGGCTGGGATAGACCCAGGAGTGTCTAACTCTAAAGGCTGCATGTTTTCCTTATGCCACACACACACACACAGTGATGAATTAAATCCTCTAATCCAGCCAAGATTTCCTGGTCAGTCACAGAGACCCCAAAACACACCAACAAAAGTGCTTTGCAGAATTCTGTGGGCACGAATACAGAATAGTGAGACCTCCCTGGCAAAAACATTATTAAGACGATAGCATAACAACTGCACCTCTGAGAGCTGGAAGAGGGAGTGCCGGGAAGCTCACACAGTGAGACAATGGCGCCAATGTGTTTCTTCGGTATGTTCTAAATATACTAACAGAGTGCTATGAAGCACAGCTTTGAAGCACTAATATTACCACACCAGGAACAGATATCACCATAATGATTGAATCACTGTCACCTAATACTCAAATACAACGTAAAACAAAACAAAAATCAGACTCAGCAATATTCCTAGAAAATAACACATAATAACTTTTTATTCCAGAAAAAAGCATATTCAGTCGTATGGTAATTTCCCCAAATGTAATAAATAAAGTAGAGAAAGGCAAAGTATCCCAGAAGAGAACCCGCCACTAAGACAGCAACATAAAATCATTTCCTAAAGTCTCTGATTCGGAAGCTTTTTTTAATTTTCAGATCTGGAAAGCTCAACCAGTAAGTATACTCCATTAAAAAAAAAAAAAATCCAAAATCTGAAACACTTTCAGTCCCAAGCATTTTAGATAAGACATAATTAACTTGTAGTGGCAAGTTACATTTGATTTACATTTAAGATATCATAAAATACTGTCTTTGATCCTCATGATAGCACTATAGGGTGGATATTATTAACCTCATTTCAGAGGAAGAAAACAAAGGTCAGAGGTCAAGGGACTTCCAAGAATGTGTCAAATTTAGCACTAACATTTGGGTTTTCAGATTCTAGACCTTGCATTTGCTCCTCTCAGGCACACTGCCAGAGGTGAGCCAGAGAGGTTCCTCTCAAAGGCCCTCAAAATTAAAGGAGTTTTCCTAAATCCTACAGGCTGCCTGGAGATATGCCAAAGGCAGTAGCTCTCAAAGTATGTCCTGGGCCAGCAGCTTCAGCCGCACCTGAGAACTTGTTAGAAAAGTTCTGGGCCTCAATCGCTTCTTGGCCTTTTGGCCAAGATCAAGTGAAAAGTTCTGGGCCTCACCCCAGACCTGTGGAATCAGAATCTGTGGGAATGGGGCCCTGTAATCTGTGTTTTAATATGTCCTCCAGGGGTTTCTGATGCCTGTCAGGGAGAAAAACATCTCCTCATCCTTTTGCACACACAGCTTAACTAGGACCTCCTAAACCCTAAATCAGTGCTTCGTAAACTTGAATGTGTCTATGAGTCCCCTGAGGATCTTATGCAAAGAACTTACTCTGACTCTAGTTCTGGGGCAGAACTTGAGAGTCTGAATTTCTGACAAGTTCCCTGGTAATGCCTCTACTATTCATCTGTGGGCCATTCTTTGACTAGCAAGTCTTAGATCACCCTCAGAAGAACTGAAACCTGTGAGAGGGCCACATAACATCCCATTTTCCAGGTAAGACTCTGGGAACGTGCAACAAGAATCATCTCAATGTACATTATGCTTGCTTTATATGAAAATGAAACTATAGACAGGAGAGCTCACAGGGGCAAAAAATTCCTTGGCAAAACTCCAAGGGTTTGCTTTAGACCATCCTTCTAAAAAGCTCTGGCGCAGATGATGTCCACAAGGCCAGGCCTAGCCAGAAGAGAAGCCCAAGTCAACTCTCACTGACACCATCCTTCCTCGGCCTCTCCCCCTCCCACTCTTGTTCCTCAGATCAAAGAAGATGGTAAGTGTCTGAGGCAGCCTCAAGTCAGGAGTGGAGAGGAGAGTTGAGAGGAATAGAAAGAGAGAAAAGTCTGTATAGTATCTGCCAATTTCCATGGTAGCAAACTCCAACACAGTTGCTTTCAAACTATCAACATGAGATGACTGAATATCGAGTTAGGAAGAGATGTGCATAACTTGAGGGATCCAGCATATCACTGCCTCCTCATCCTCTCTCCATCTCACCAGCTCCTCTTCCCCACAGGCACCAGCTCCTCTTCCCCACCAGCTCCTCTTCCCCTCCAGCTCATGCCTCCAATGGCTGACTACTCCCTTGGGCTACATGCAGTCTCCGGAACCACCACTGCTGGGGGATCTATTGATCTAGTTCTGTGACACACATTACCTACCAAAGAGTCAGTGCCACTGTCCCCTCTGCCACTCAGTCAAAAAGTGAGACTCCAAATCCCACCAGGCTGGCAGTGACATAATATAAGGGGGGAAGCAACAGTCAAGAAATGGGTAGTTGATACCAACACAGGATGGCTTTAAAACCCTGAAAATGGCAGGAGAATTCCCAAAGCTAGCAATTTTTACTAGCTGGAGGTACAATATACTAGTATCTCCAACGTGAGCAGTGAAGCATCTGAAAAGTCTCTTTTCCATAGAAGGACATGTATTTAAAAAGAGAGAGAGAGAGAGAGAGGACACAGAAACAAGGGTCACCTAATTTAGAATCCCAATTTTGCTTCTACTTAGAGATGTTCCCAGCCAAGACACTTAACCTCAGCTTCCTTCCCTGTAAAATGGGAACACAACATAGAATTGTTGCAAAGATCAAAGATAATTGTTAATCATAATGGTAGTTAACACCGTTGTGACCCACGCATGATTTTCATGGACAGATTCCCAGAACACAGGTGGCACAGAGACACCCAACGTGAGAAGGCTTGTCTGGCTATTTCTTCAATGGTGCCTCTAGGGGAGAGGTGGGAGGATGTTGGAACAATAAGCTGAAGTTTTTCCTCTATACATACCGAGTCCAAACCAGCTTCTCAGCTCTCTAGCCTCTAGCCCTGAAGGCAACATCCAGGTTCACTCTAGTCCCATCATTCCAGGTGCTCAATATCCACTTTTTTCCACTCTCCCCTACCTGGATTGTTGTTCTGCCATTATGTCATCTCATGGATAGTAGTGATGGGGCATCTGGTTAATTTCTAGAAATCTTTGACAGATGTCTACTACGTGAGAAGCACTGTTCAAGGTCTTGAAGCTAAAAAAGCAATCACATCTACCATCAGGTGCTCACTTTGTTATAGGGTGGGGCAGGGGACAGGAAGGCATTCATCATTGAAAGAAAAGTGTTCATTTCAACAAAATGAGATAAGCTTTTTGAGAGAAGTGTACCTAGGGAAACTCCAACACCTTTTCCTCCTGGGCACAAAGCTAGGGTGTATTTCCCAGCCTCCCCTACAGTGAGATGAGTCACATGACTGAGTTCTGGCTTATGGAATATGGGTAGAAGTGACATAGTCCACATCTAGGCCTTCCCACAAAAACCTGTGCAATCCTCCACCCTCTCTCTTTCCCTATTCTCCAGCAAAATGAAGAGGATGCCAAAAACCCAGAGGAAGGCCGAGCTACAAGATGGATAAAGCCTGGATTCCTGAGTCTCTACCTGGAAGAAAGCTACTTTACAGGGACACTCATGTTGGACTGTTCCATAAGCAGAAGGTACAATTTAGTCAATGAGAATTCAGAGGCTCTTGTTACAGCAACTGGCATATCCTGACTAATATTGTAACTATGGGGACCCAAGAAGACTTTTTCTCAACTAGCCCTATAATGCTGCACAAGTGAAGATCAAACACGATTAGCATCGTAAAAACCTCACTGGAGAATGCAAATAAAGTTTGTTAGTTTTCTCAAGATGCATATAGTGTCTTGACATCTCACAAGAATACACGGAATATAAGTCATTTTTGATGAATTGGTTGTTGAGGAATAAACTACATGGAAGAGATTTGGGTTTTGTCTTTATTTTTAAGTGAATCTTTAAACACACATAACGTCTGCAGGTGATTTTTCCATCTCTATAGTTTTTACTGTTAATCACTATGTTGACATTGTCCAAGTTGCTATCATTTTGACAAGAACCAGAGTAAAACCTCCCTCCAATCATTGTCTTTTCTGTTATTATAAAAGGTCCTGCAATCCAAAGTATAATCATTACCATAAAAATGATTTTTCTAATACAGTAAACCAAGTCCCAATCTATCCCCTGGTTGTAAATTAGGCTTTAAAAAAAAAAAAAAGTTATTACATAATGTCCAGAAGTATCTACTCTTTTAACACGGACACTAGAAGAAACCAGCTCACTAGGTGCTAAAGAATGAATATATAGCATAGCAAACTATGCTTTTCAATGAAAATTACCATCAAAATTTTAAATGTGCTCTATAACTCAATGACATGAATAGAAAATTATTTGGGTCATATAGATAGTAGTTCAGAGCTAGGAAGTACTTACCAACAAATTTTCTAATGCAGTGATCTTCTCACCTCTACCCACCTAAGAGAAAACTCTCCTGGGGCACTTATTTAAAATACAGATTCCTGGAGCCCCTTCTTAGCTCTACTGTATCAAACTGTAGGGAGGATGACCTTGGAATCTGTATTTTTAAACAAATACCTGAGGTGATGCTGATGGCATTACTGGTCCACAGAGCACACTTCAAATACAACGCTCTACCCTGCACATACACTTACCTCTAAATTCAATTTTCCTTTAAAAAATTTTCAAAGAATCACTACTTATCTCAAACTGAAAGAATTTCAAGTGAATTTGTTTCTTCTCTCCCTTTTCTGTATGTTTTCCTCAGTGAGCACAGATTACTTTCATTATAAAAAAATATGTTTAAATAGCAGCAGCTCTTAAGTGTCCAAGTGTTTGTATAGATGGGGGCGGATGCTACATTTTATTCCTAGGACTTTTGTAGGTGCCTTGTTTTTTTCCTTTTCACATAGCTCCTGGCAACACAGCCTTGTATGACTCCAAATAAGAAAATATGATTCTTTTTAATCATTGCCCAGGAATTACCTCAGTAAATTGTTTTATAAACTAGCTGACCTTTCTGTGATTCACTTTCTGTAGTCAAAGCTGAATGCCTTAATGAACATGTAAAATTCTCTTTCTTGAGCATTTTTATTTTTTTTTTCAGTACTAAACTAGCAAAGCAAGAAATTCTAAAACATTATTTAAAATAAAAAAACCTGACAGTTCCTAAAGTTGTTTCATCAGTGCAATTTTTATACAGTTTTCAAAGTGGTCATGTGTCTCTTCAACATAGATACTTCAGTATATTGCCAGAGGTGACTTAGTGGCTGAAAAGGAACCGGGGGAAAAAAGGCAGCAAAAGATTGAGAATGAACCAGAGATAAAAAGATGTACACATAGCATATAGAAATCTTAGAAAATAACATCATTATATAATTAATTTCCAAAACTCATAAACAATTTAGGCTCTCATAGAGAACAGTATGAAGAAAGACCAGAAATAAAAGGCAAAAACTTGGAGTATTTAGTATCACAGCAAGTAAATTACACCAGACAATGGTTTTGGCCAATTCATCACAAAGGGCACCACAATTTTCCCTATGATTCTTTTGATGTAACATTCTTTAAAAACAGTTTTCAAAGGATATGAGAAAGAAAGCCCCTATAATTTAAAGAAAAAAGCAAAGTCACAGTAAAATTCACATTAAAGTTCTTACTTCTTCCGTTCAGAGCCTAATATCCTAAACAAGTCTTTGAAGTACTGTGGGACTCGGACCACCACATTCTCTGAGGGGCCGATGTCTCTTAGGTGTGGGTAGAGTCTGACATCAATGACCTTCTTGATATAGCCCAGCCAGTCAAACTGAGGGAAGAGAAGAAAAAAACAGTGAGAGAACCTCTGTTAGGCATCAAGAAAGGCAAATAAAGTAGACTGAACATAATTCATTCCTTGTGATTTCACACCAAATAATTAAAGATGCAACTGCTCAAGTCTAGAAAATAAATTCCTGATTATTTCCATCCAGAACTATTGCCTTAATCACAAATGGAACATGTGCTCTGTACCATCTACATCTGGAGGACACCCACACACACACTCACACACTCCTTTGGCCCCCTCCAGCACTCTCCCTCCCTCCTGAACTCTCCCCTTCTTCTTTCTCTATCCATTCTGCTCTCTTTCTCCCTCATGTAATCTTCCTCTATTTTATGTTCTCCCTGCCTTTCTTCCTCCTACACTCTCCCCTCCTTCTCTCCAGCACTTCCCTTCTTCCTTCTAAGTTCTTCCTCTATCTCGCATGCCTCCTCTCTCCCTTCTTCTCTCTGTTCTGTACTCTCCCTCACTTCCACATACACGTGGATCAGACGCCCCAGTACATTCCTGGTCTTCTCTCTGACACAGCCTTTCTTAACACATGAGAAAACAAACATCAATAGAAAGTCACATGTCCCCATGTGACTTCAGAGCATCATCATCTTACCTAAAACACCATTTGGTGTTTTCAATTGGCTACCATAAAAGTCATTTCCTGACCTTTTCTCCCTTGCTTGCCTCCATTACTGAAATGTAAAACCAGTTACTCCCTTGCTCAGCCTCCCTTGTAGTTAGGGGTGGCCATGTGACCCAATCCTACCCAATAAGAAATAAAGGGAATACATTTAGGAATATTCTAGAAAGGCTTTTTTGTTTATTCTGATATACAAATTAGACACATCACTGGCCCTTTCTCCTTCCTTGATGGCGGATGTGATATATGGAGCTGTGCTAGACACCTTGCAACCATGAGTCATCAAACATGAAGTCAAAAAGCCAACATACTAAAAAGAGTGAAATGGAAAGATAGAAAGAACTTGGGTCTTTGACAACATTGTTAAACAGCTGAACCAAGGACAAGAATATTGTCATGTAAGAGAACTGGCTTTAAGTTTTTAAGTTTTAAGCCACTGTTGGAAAGATTTTCTGTTCCCTTCAACAGAAGGCATCCCAATACACAGACAAGAGATATTTTATGTGATTGTTGACAAAGATGATGATAACCAAAAAGACTGATAGTAGGTTTTACAAGGCAAAAGTTTGCATGCAGATGAAATACAATCACTTGTAAAATGACCAGTTAAGAGAAAGCTTTCTGGATAGTTTTCACCGACCTGGGGAATCATAGCACTCAGTTCAGAAATGTTCATTTTGTTGTACATGGCTTCACTAGTTCGGTTTTCATGTGGAATCATGATCTGTTGGAAAGAAATTTTGGTTATTTTTTTCAAATGAACCATTTCTTGCTGCATGACTACTTTCTACATGTGCCAAAACATCTGCATAGTATAAAGTTTTTCAAGATTTTGGTGTGGTGCCCAACTGGTGGGAGAGAAAAAAAAGACATCACTTTAAGCTGGGTTATGGTTAAGAAAATAAAATAAATTTTTATGTCCTCTTCCATGTGAAATATTGTCCCCGGTACAAAAAGAACTATCCAGAATTCCCCCCACCTTCCCCCCATTTATAATGTGGATGGCCAAAAATATATTGCTGGCTCAGTGTTGACAGTCAAACTGAAGTTAAACAATTGAGGCAAACATCTCACACTCACCTGCAGTCTCCAGATAATGATCTCAATATTTCATGAACTATAGACCATCCCTTCATCTCTAGGGACAAATTTACACTGATGAACACAAGACTATCTGGATACCATTGCTACCCAAGATTATTTTGTCAACAGCTCATTCCCTCATTTTCCCCTCTTGTTTCTTTGGCCTCGAGATTCTGCTAGCCCTGATGCTGGAGGTGTGGATTCAGTTACTGCCTAAATCCACATTTTAAAGCCTGTCTCTCCAGCCCTGACTCTATATTCTTTCTATTCCCAGTGCTCATGCTCTTGGCCATTTGGCCAACACCAAAGCTAAACTTCTAGCCTCCACCATGTTTAACCTAATTTAAGAATAGCAGCAAAGATTATCTTCTTCAATGGTCATCTTATCACTTCCATTAACAGGCAGTAACTCCCATGCTCACCCTTAAATCATATCATAATTTTCCCTTCAGGTCTTCCATTTTCCAATCCCCTTGCATTCAACTTGCCACATTCCACAACACACATTACTCTCCTACTTTTTTATCTCCTATCCACCACTACCATCTCCATGGTCTGAACTATGATTCCAGACTATTCAAGATTCATTGTCTCTAGTAAGCCTTTTCAAGGAAACTCCACTTGATTCTAATCACAAGGACCACTCCATCAACAAAATCTCTCCTGAGGTACATATCTCTCTAGCTGGGATCGGTTAAACACACACATCAATGGCTATATTTACAAGGACTTATTGGTACTTGACTGGGCTGCCCTGTCTCCCCAGCTTCACTGGTTTTCCTTGGACTATATGTCTCACTAATTTTGAATGTACTTAGTGTCCTTGAGGTGTAAAAGATGGAAGTTAGCATTACTATCAGGCCAAAAATCCACACACCATGGATTTTTCAAGCAAAATTAGAGGGCTGAGTGGCAAACAACTGCCCCATTTTCTAAGTGCTTTAGTGCCCTTAGTTCTTCCTCCTCACCTTCCACAGGAGAGACCATGTTTACCTCATAAACAGCCTCCTGGCTCTTTATGAATCATTGCCTCAGAGAATGTCCACACTTCTCTTCTACCCACTCCTCCTCCCTTAGAATCTCACAGCCCCAGGTTGGAGTCCTTTGGTCTCACAGCTGTTTTCAGCTCCCTGCCAGCTACTCCCTTCCACACAATAGATTTGTTGCCCCATTTAGCCTCTTGACAATTCCTAATCTTGCCTCAGTCCAGGTGTTTTAGTTCTTTTTTTGGTCCAAATCCCTGGCTCAGGGCTAGCCCTTCCCTGCTGTATCAGAGTTACAGTCCAAATTAGAGCTCTGTGCCTCGTATTTGCCTGGAAAGGGAAGTCAGATAGCCTCTAGACATGGCTTACAGGCACAGTATTGGATTTCAAAACATCTGCAGCCCTCTGTCTTCAGAATCTCCAAAGGTGAGATGCAAGAATGAACCTTTTGCATAGCAAGTAAGAGTTCGGAGAGAGGCATAAACGGACATCATCACAGTAGAGACAGAAGCTAATTCCTTCTGACATTCTTCACCCCTACTCCCTACTGCAATACACTACCACCAATTCACCAAACACAAAACCAGTAACACTTGGACTCTTATTCACCTCAGGATTTTTACCAATTTCCACTATAAGAGACCCCCAAACCGTACGTAAAAGTTTCTTGGTAAAAGTTTTTTTTTTTTTCACTACGGGGTTTCCCCACAAGCAGATTTCATTATATTTGTACCCACTGGGCCTAGGAACATAGAAGGATTTTACACTTTGGTTCTTCTGGAAAAAAGTTATTCTATAAATGAAGCCAATCATTTAGGATATCTCATTATTGTCCCACAAGTTTGTTTTTATATCTTTTTGACTCTATCATAAGCATAAAAAAATTTAAGGTACCTACAAAAGCATGTAATTCTGTGACATGCATATGACACAATGACTTATTAAGGTAGAGTAAGAAAAGAATGAAAAACAGGAGTAGATACAAAGTAATACCAGAAAGGTAGCTTAAAAATGCTTACCAGCATGCCCTACACCCTTTCTATATCAACTTTTATAGCCAGTATTGGTGGACAGACTTCCCTGAGCCCAGAACCTATGTCAGACTGAAACTGAGTGGGAATGGTATAAAATGTAGACTGGATTACATGCAATCTTCCATTCAAGTCAAATAAATAAGGATTTATTCAACCCCTATCTTCTATTTTAGCCAAATAATAATTTTTTCTAGGAAAACAGTCAGAGGATCTCCCTGCTGCTATTCTTTGGCCACAGCTGAGAAACATATGAGCATTGAATGGGCTTAAACCAGAGAAATGAAGGAATGAAGAGCTTTTCTTTCTGTCATGGTTCTTGTTACTTCCCAGAGGGAATGCTATTAGCTCTACCCTTAGACCCAAAGGGAAATGACACAAAATGCTATTATTTGGTTGCAATTTATCTTTCCTGGGATATACTACCTTTAAGGAGAGGGGAGAAAGGAAAGGAAAGAGATTTTCAATTAATACTTACCTCGGCTATCTTAATTTCCAGTCTAAGCACCGACTTCATGTCATGCTCTGCTCGGGAGCTGTTAGCTCCTAAAAGCACAGCAGTATCCACCATGAACTTATAAAGGGCATCCCGATACTATAAGAGATAAAGAAGCACGTGACCATGAAAACAGCCTATTAGGAAATACGTTTCAGAGACACAGAAGAGCAGAAACAGCAAGTGGAAATAAATGCCCTTTATTTTCACTCAGTTCTCAAAGTATGATACAGGCATTATGCAATACCAGCCACCTACCTATCACTTTGGGAGGTAAAAAAAAGTGATAGCTACTTGGGTACTATTTCCATGACAGAGATGTCCAGCTATCAAGCATCAAGAGGTCTAGTTTTTATGCAACCAGTGATACTATGGATACATAAAACATCTCCAAATAAGCCCAGAATAAAAAGTTAAAGGTCAAATGTCCTCTTTCCAGGCAAGTGAGGTTTTAATAAAATAATGGGAAAGAACTCTTTCTAAAATCAGGAGGCCTGATCCATGAAGACTGTTAGAAAGTGTGATTTATTATCTTCCAGCTCAATTCACCCACCTTCACATTAAGAAATAAAAGACCAGTGATAGCAGCCCTGTATCTTGTCAATTTTGTACAGTATTTACAAAGTTCTGATTCCCAACTTAGAGAAAAAAGAAGGGAGAAAAGAAAGAAGTGATGATAAGAAACCTAGCAAATTCCAAAGTTCTTGGAAACACAAGAACTGGAGAGGAATTCCAGCATGGATTCATTGGGGACATAACATTTGAGAGAACAGGTTCAAAAGCAGTGAGGAGTCCTCCTGTGAAGTGGGTGAGCTGCTTTTGTTGCAGGAAAAACAAAAGTAGATGAGATAAGAAAGATGGTTTGGGATCAAGTCATGAAGAGTCCTTGAAAACTCTCTAAGGAATTTAGACACTACGTTAGGAGCAAAAGCATTTTTTGAGAACAGAACTTGTCAAGTGGTGCTCAGGAGGAAACGGAATGAATGGGAGATGGTAACTGTTAAAAGGCTACTTGCTGTAGTCAAGGCAAGAGTTAATTCTAGCAAATTTAGAGTTTCCTCCTTACATGCTTATTTCTCCACTATCCATATGTCATTGAGTGGCAAGGGGGAACCTTATTTCATGGGAATTAAAGAATCTCTCATTTCACCTCTCATTTCAGACATATTTGTCAGATTCAATATACCAGATATTAACTGGCCTCCTCATCATGCTATGGGAATAAGATTTTCTGATCTACATCCCAATTCTGTAAGCTATATTTACTATGTGTATGACCTCAAGACCTATATAGTGGTATTTAATAAATATTTGTTGAATCAGTAAGGAAGCTTTGAAAATAGTCGTAAGCTTGGCTCGGTGGCTCAGCCTGTAATCCCGCGCCATTGGGAGGCTGAGGTGAGTGGATTGCCTGAGCCCGCAGGTTCGAGACCTGCCTGGGTAACTTGGCGAGACTTCATTTTTACAATAAATCAAAAAATTAGCCGGGCGTGGTAGCGCGCACCTGTAGTTCCAGCTACTTGGAAAGCTGAGGTGGAAGGATTGCCGGAGCCCAGCAGGTCGAGGCTGCAGTGGCCAGGAGCGGCCACTGCACTCCAATCTGGGCAACAGAGTGAGACTCCAACTCAAAAAAAAAAAAAAAAAAGAAAAAGAAAATCGTCGAATAGTTGTAATTAGAAGCAATGTTTTTGCCATTCCCAATTCAATTCAAAACATACTTATTGAATACCTACTCAATACATATGCGAGGTGGCTTGCTAGACACTCTGTGCATATAATGAGGGAGGACTGTACAGAGAAAAATTAAATAATGCTGTGTCTGGTTCTCAAACAGTGTGTGATCCAATGAGGAAGATAAACATTTAATTACTAACCATAACATTAGAAATATCAATGTAAGTTCCTCAATAGAGCTGCTATGTGCTTGGAAGCACAAGAACTGGAGAGGAATTCCAGCATGGATTCATTGGGGACATAACATTTGAGAGAACAGGTTCAAAAGCAGTGAGGAGTCCTCCTGTGAAGTGGGTGAGCTGCTTTTGTTGCAGGAAAAACAAAAGTAGATGAGATAGAAAAGATGGTTTGGGATCAAGTCATGAAGAGTCCTTGAAAGCTCTCTAAGGAATTTAGACACTACGTTAGGAGCAAAAGCATTTTTTGAGAACAGATCATGTCAAGTGGTGCTCAGGAGGAAACGGAATGAATGGGAGACGGTAATCGTTAAAAGGCTACTTGCTATAGTCAAGGCAAGAGTTAATAAGGATCTGATCTAGGGCATTAAGGACAGAAAGGAGTAACCGGGTGAATGGAAGAGACATTTTGAAGGTGGAATCACGAGAACTTGACTGATTGGTTACAGGGAAAGATTATTTCAAGCCTGGTTGCTGAGACCCCAGTAAAACAGAGGCACCACTCCTCACCCCAGATTGAATAAAGTTCATTCTGACCACTTTCAAGAAGGAACATTTGCCAACCCTCTTTGAGTGTCCTCAGTCAGAAAGTTACCTAGTATCTTCATTAGTGTTCTGTCCTCCAGAGCCTTTTGTGTATAGAAAGAGGTTAGTATCAGTATAGACCCAGGGGACCTAGGTCTGAGGCTCCTTTGGAAGTTCAATAAAGTTTCCAAAATGAATTCAAAGTGTCAGAAATGAATCAGCACTTTTCAATCTCCAGGAAACTACTAGGTTTCCAAACCAACCCAAGAAGTCTAACCCGATTGATCCTTTCTAGTTTTCATTAACCCTCCATTAACCTGGGGCACATGTTAAAATACACATTCCCAGACCCCACCTCAAGTCTACTAAGTCAAACTCTCTGGCTGTAACCCAAGAATCGACATTTAATAGAAGCCTCCCAGGTGATTCTTAAAGCAGTACAATTTGAGAACCATTGGCTTCCTGGGTATCTCTTCCCAAGCTTTATTTCTGTAATGGATAGTGAGCTTTTCTGAGGGACTGCAAGTTCATTTCTTGGTAACTTCACTTGGGTGTGCTATCTCTCCAGCTAGATTATGAGAGCACTGAGCACGGGGACTTGTATAGCCTTGATGTCCACACTTACAGAAGACAGGGGTAGAATTCATCTGTCTGAATAAAAGGCATTTGCTTCCTGTATTGGGAATATAGTCATTGAATAGCACATTGCCCATTTCCAGTAAAGAAACAGGGACCTCAGAACAACAAATAAAGCTGACAGCAACCTGACAAGGCACATAGTTGAATATGAGTAAAACTTACAGACTTGGCTTCTGTACTGTTATCAAGGTAGTCCTCCCTCACAGCTAGGGAGAGCGTTGCTTGGTCCAGCTGTTAAAACAAAAACAGAAAGCATTCTGTTATCATTGTAAGCTCTTATGTACCATGTTAACAAGAGTCATGAGATCATCTGCAACCCAGTCACATTTTGAACTCATGTCACCATTACAAAAAGAATTCACTACATTCAGAGCTACATGCAAATGGACACTTTGGTGATGACAGACATAATAAAGAATCTGAGACCCACCCTGCATTCCTGATTCATGTTTTCTAAACCCTTTGAGAATCTGTCAGGGCTGAATAGCATCAAGGCTATTTGAATTGAAATTGATCATAGAAAACATTGGCTTTTCCCCCTTGTTTGATGGGGCGGGGAGAGTAAAGGCCAAAAAACTGATGTGACTTTCCTAAGGTAACATTGTTGGGCAGAGCTCAGAGTAAAATCATTGTCTCCTGTCACCAGATTCAGTATTCTTCTCACTATAGTATTTTGCAAAATACTATGGATAGAGTTGATTAATCAGACTTTCTACCTCCCTACTTCTAAAATAAAATGTGCTGCATTTATTTTTTATTTGAAAGTAATCAAGTAATTATTGTGCTTTGGGAAGACTTTGGAAATTCTAGAACCCTCTCTGGAAGATTTAGGAGAAGTAATAAAAACACAAATAACAAGCAGACAACTAAATAAGTAGAATCATGGTGAAAGAGAAGTATAGTATAAATTCTTGAATTATCACTTTCAGCACCTTAAAGGCAATCAAAAGAAAGAAGACAGTCTTTTCAAAGAATGTGCTAGAAAAACTGGACATCCATGTGCAAGAGAAAATGATCCCTGACTGATAGCTCACATCTTGCACAAAAAATTAGCTGAAAGTGGATTACAAATCTAAATGCAAAACCTAAAAATATAACACTTGTAGAGGAAAATATAGGGAAAAAGTTTTGTGACCTGAGGTTAGACAGAGTTTTTAGATATGACAACAAAACTATAATCCTTAAAAGAAAACATTAAAAAATTGACTTTTAAGCCTGCCTTGGTGGCTCAGCCTGTAATCCCGTGCCTTTGGGAGGCTGAGGTGAGTGGATTGCCTGAGCCCGCGGGTTTGAGACCCGCCTGGGCAGGCGAGACCTCATCTCTATAATAAAATCAAAAAATTAGCCGGGCGTGGTAATGCATGCCTGTAATTCCAGCTACTCGGAAGGCTGAGGCAGAAGGATCGCCGGAGCCCAGCAGGCGAGGCTGCGGTGGCCGAGAGCGGCCACTGCACTCCAGTCTGGGCGACCGAGTGAGACTCTGACTCAAAAAAAAAAAAAAAAATTGACTTTTACATTTTAGAAATTTTGCTCTGTGAAAGACACTGTTAAGAATTTTAAAAATCATTCCTTCCACTGTGGGAGCTCTTCTATCCTCTCAATAAATCCTGCTTTCTCAAAGAAGAAAAATAATTTACAAAATCAGGCCACAGAACGGGGGAAAATATTTGAAAATCATATATATGACAAAGAACTTGTATCCAAAACACATAAAGAGTCCTCAAAACTCAGCAATAAGAAAACAAACAACCCAATTTAGAGTTGAGCAAAAGATATGAACAGACACCTTACCAAAGAACAAATGAAGATGAAAAATAGGCACATGAAAAAATGCCCAACATCGTTAGTCATCAGAAAAATGTACATTAAACCCACAATAAAACACTACTACACAGTTGTTAAAATGGCAAAAAATAAATCTGACAAGTGTTGGTGAGAATATGGAAAAACTGGATCACTCATACACTGCTGGTGGGAATGTAAAATGGCACGGCCACTTTGGAAGAAATCTACTTTGACAGTTTCTTAAAAAGTTAAACACATTTACATATGAGCCAGCAATACCGTGCCTAGGTATTTATTTACCCAGAAGAAATGAAAACTTATACTCAAACAAAAACCTGTATGTAATTTGATTCAAAATCACCAAAAACTGGAAAAAACACAAATGCCTTTCAACCCATCAATGGATGAACTGCAGTATGCCACAGAATACTACTCAACAATAAAAGAAAATGATTGGATATGGTAACAACATTGGTCACCCTTAGTTACATTCTGAGAAATACAAAACTTACAGGGACAGGGAACAAAGTGATGACTGCCAGAACTTGAGGATGAGGAGAAAGGTGAACTACAAAGGGATAGTATGAGGTGATTTAGGGTGGATGACAGGACTTTCACTTCTTGATTGCATTGGTGGCTACATGACTACATGCATTGGTCAAAACTTATAGCTACATACATGACAAAAAGTGAATTTAACTGTATGTAAATGTTAGTTTAAAAAAAACTTCCAGTACCGTCTCTAAATCTATGGCTTGTTTTGCCTTGACTATTAGCAACTGACTAAAGACTAAATGAAATGGACCTCAACAGCAGAAGATTTTTCCAAATTAAATCTCTAATTTGCACCTTAAAATAATTTAGGGAGATTAGGGGCAAGATGGTGAGGGAACCAGATAGACTGTGAGAGTCTCCACAAAAGCCAAGTGTCCATAAAGACTCTCTGCATGAGTGGGTGTGTGCTGGTGGGTGAGTGAAAGTCCCTCTGAGGGGAGACTCAGGTTCGTGCACCTGGGGATCTCTCCTCTGGAGGTGACTGCAACCCTCCACTGCCCTGAGATTGGAGACCGGGTGCACAAGATTGTCTGCCATTCTAGGGGCTCTCTTGAGAGGAGAGAGCAGAGAACAGCCCCTCCTCAGCACCAGCACCTGATGCACACCATCACCTGCAGCAGCAGACCTGGCACAAGAAGGCAGGTACTGGAAATCTGGAATAAAGTTACAACACTAGTGACAGGATGCCAACGGGTGCCATCTTCTCAGTGCCAGGACCCGGCAAAGACTTGCATTACCCCATCTAACTCTGCCCGGCCTCCATCTTGGGACCTAGAAGCTATTTTCTCATCAAACTCAGAGACACAGACGCCCCTCCCTCACACTGGAACAGGCACAGACATGTCAGATCTGAGTAGGAGACTTGACAGGAGTAGCAGTGAGTAGGGTGAGTCTGGATCTGATCCACCTTTCTCCCACAGTAGTCTGTGGGGCATCTGACCTAGGCTGAGACCAACCCTATCAACCTGTACTGAGAGCAGAGTGGAGGGACTAGAGACCAGAGCTGCTCCATAAAGCAGAGACCTGAAAGGAACCTGGACTCACAGAAACTGCCAGAAAGCATGTTTTTCTTTTTAGTTTTTTTCTTCTGTTTCTTTCTGTTTTTGTTTACATTTTTGTACTTGCTTTGTTTATTTTATTTTATTTAGATTTTCTGTTTATGTATGGTATTTTTGAGAAAGAGTACACTAATGGGGGTTGTTTGTATGACTGTCTGCATGTTTTTGTCTTTTTTGTTTTTTTGTGTCTTTGTCGCTGTTTGTTAGGTGGTACACCTGTCTTTTTTCCCTCCTCTTCTCTCTCTCAACCTCCCTTTTATCTTCCTCTTTCCATTTTCTATTATTTTCTCTTTTCTTATCTCATTTTGCTTTCTTGGTCAAACAGACACCCCCACTGCATGGGCATATTGTAAGGCAGTGGGAAATGGGTTCCAGGGGGCCCACACACCTGTCAGCAGATACTGGGATCTGAAGATAGCTTCTGAATCACAGTTCCTTCCTCAATTAAATCTCAAAACTGCAAAAATCACAGGCCCCCACCCCTAGTCCAGCTTCAGAATTGAGCAAAACCAGAGGATCTACATAAGGAAGAACAGGAGATTGAGCAAACAGAAATAAAAGTTATCCCCCCCATCATTGAACAACAGACTTAAAGAAGAGGTAAAGAAAAGAGGGGTAGAGCCAGGATCGGTGGCTCAGCCTATAATCCCGCGCCTTTGGAGGCTGAGGTGAGTGGATTGCCTGAGCCCACGGGTTCGAGACTCACCTGGGCAGCGAGACCTCATCTCTACAATAAATCAAAAAAATCAGCCGGGTGTGGTAGCACATGCCTGTAATTCTGGCTACTCGGAAAGCTGAGGCGGAAGGATCGCCAGAGCCCAGCAGGTCAAGGCTGTGGTCGCCGGGAGCAGCCACTGCACTCTAGTCTGGACGACTGAGTGAGACTCCAACTCAAAAAAAAAAAAAAGAGGGGAAGGAAAACCTACACAAATAAAGAAGAACCAAAGAAAGGATATGAGTCTCACACAGGCCCCTGGGAGGTCAGACATTGAGAATACAGTCTCTGGAAATCAAACAATGAAGAGTCCCCAGAATGACTGGTCTCAAAACACAAACCCAGATATCATGATATTAATAGAGAGAATAAATAGAAATGAGGAGAGACAAGAAGAAAGAATGAAGGAGGTGATAACTAAGATAACAGCAACAAAAATACAGTGAATGAAATAAACAAAAAACTGATAAGCATAGAAAGCAGAATTAGCTAAGCAGAAGAAAGAATCTCAGAGTTTGAGGACCAAAATATAGAACTAACCCAAACTGTCAAAAACATAGAAAAGAAGCTTTAAAAGACAGAACAAAACCTCCAAGAGATAAGAGATTATTTCAAGAGGTCGAACCTAAGATTAATTGGAATCCCTGAGGCAGAGAGAGAGACAGAGACTAGCCTGGAACAAACATTCCATGAAATTATCCAAGAAAACTTCCCTCATCTCATCAGTGATGTGACCATTCAGACACAAGAGATTCAGAGAACCCCTGCAAGACAACAAATGAGAAGACCTACTCCCAGACACATAGTAATACCTATACAAGGTAGATGTAAAAGAAAAAATTCTAAAGGCAGCAAGAGAGAAAGGTCAGACTACCTCCTGGGGAAGACCAATTAGAATAGCAGCAGACTTATCTATAGAAACACTTCAGGCTAGGAGAGTTTGGAGCCCAATCTTCAAAGTTCTCAAAGATAAATAATTTCAACCAAAAATTACCTACTCAGCTAAGCTAAGTTTCCTCAGTGATAGAGCATTAAAATCCTTCCCAGACATTCAATCCCTAAGGATTTATGCTGCCTCCAGACCAGTTCTACAAGAAACATTTAAGAAAGTATTAAAG